CATTATTAAGGGATTATATTTGATTGTGAGGAGACATACTGTGCTACGAATGCTTAGTGTAATTTTTACAACTCTTGTTATATTCTCAACATTTTAAGATATTCTGAAGATTGCCGGTCATCTGGTGCGACGTTGAATTTATTTTCAGATAAATCCAAATTAACGGATCTAAATATGGGTTGAAATTCACACTGTTTCGGTCCATGCTACTTCTTTTCTCTGCTAGGTGTGGAGCAGATGTTTCATAGCTGAGCCATGTCTCTGGTTGAGGCAGAAAGGACATTCCACGGTTGTATCAATCTGCCTTTTGTGATTATCTAGCCCAGGGGTAGGCAACCTTGGCTCTTTTATGACTCGTGGACTTCAACTCCCAGAATTCCTGAGCCATGCTTGGAAACCTCTCCCTTTCCCCTCAGCATGGCTGGCTCAGGAATTCTGGGAGTTGAAGTCCACGAGTCATAAAAGAGCCAAGGTTGCCTACCCCTGACCTAGCCAAATGCTGGACCATGAGGCTTGTCCCGTAAAGCAGAACACATCTAAAATAAGATATGCAAACATGACATTGATGCAGTTTAACCAAAAGCAACACTGTGCTTTCCCATTAAGCGGTAACTTATTTATTTTATTGCTTCAGAAGCATTACCAGGATACAACTTCTTTATTTTGGTGTCATCATTAAATTAAACAATGTTTTCTCAAGAATTTGTTGTATTTTTCTAACCGGTTGCTAGGCAGTGTACACAGAAAAAAAACAAGGTTCTGTTAGTGAGATTTCTATTGCCTGTGAAGCCAGGGAAAAAAATGTATTACTGGAGGCGTGAAGCAAATCATACAGGAACACAGGTCCATTGACTTTGTGAATGCTGCACACCCATTGACTCTCTTGCGAGTATAGATTTCTATACTACAACAAATTGTGCAGCTGCTACACAACACTACTGGCTTCTCAAATGGTTTCTAACTACACAGTGGCCAGTCTCCTTAGTCAAGAGCTTCTGCTAAAAGCCCCATGGGCATTACCCCTTTGCCACAACTCCCCCAAAAGTCTACTTAGCACCAACATATCAAAAACACCAAAGCATCCTCAGCAGTTGTGGTACCAAGGACTAGGGTGGCCTTTCCTTGCTGTGAGGCTCTGCTTCCATTGTGCTGCAAGAGCTACAACTGAAGCATCCATGTTTGTGTGTCAAATAAGGCAAGATTAGCGGGTATGGCTACCTGGGCAAAGTCTCTCTCATTTTTAAGCATGCATTGCACGTGTAATGGAAAAAGGCCTCCATTTTGGCTTTTCTGGCACCTTCCCCTACTATGGACCATTCTGAACTAGAGGCTAAATCTATTCGCTACTGATAAAGGCAATACAGTAAAAGATGATAAGAAGCAACTCTGGAATTTTGCATGAACCACGTGCAACGTAACCTTACACAAAAGTCCCACCTAATTCAGCTCGTGTTCCAATTAAGTTGTGTAGATGACAGAGTCAGCCCATACCGGAATCCTTTGGTTTAATGCAGAATTTAGTCTATTAGTTCAATACGACAGATCTGGCCTGGTAACCATGGGGACTGTGTTTACCTTTCTCTTAAGCGCTTCAATTAAGTAGTTTTATAGCTGACTCTGGCTTGCCAGCTCATCCACTGATTATGATCGTAAGTAAATGCTCAGAAGTTTACCCTTTTCCTGTCAGGCATGTTTCACAAAGTGGCCGTCTCCTGTTTGCTGAAATCTCAGGCTGCAGCCCAATTAAAATGGTCTTCAATAGGAGCCGTGAAAATTCTTTTCAAAAAGGGCTGTTTTGCATCTGTTAGGCTGGAGCATCGGTATCCTTGAAACGTGATCAGACAAAACTGCTGGATTTGGTTACATCGCAGAAGGCAGCATCTAGCTGTATACTACTACTACGACTATAAAGCAAAGAATCAAAAGCTGCTGAAGCAAAGTCAACTACGCAATAACAATATGAAAAGAAAACCCTGTCACAAACTGGCTTGGCGTATTAGGCACTGCTCCCTCATCTTCAATCATACCACCTTTATTATTCAGAAAATAAACGGCAAGAAAAAACATTAGCCATGCTTTTTGCTTTGAACATGTAAACACACATACTCTCTATACCAGTGTTTCTCAACCTTGACAATTTTAAGGCATGTGGACTTCAACTCCCAGAATTCCACAGCCAGCATTGCTGGCTGTGGAATTGTGGGAGTTGAAGTCCACATGCCTTAAAATTGTCAAGGTTGAGAAACACTGAGCTAGGAGATGCACTACTAAGAATAAGGATATTCCTCCCTCCTGGAAGATTAGCATCTTGGGTTTACATGACAACGAGATGTTCTCTTTGGATTATTTCTGAAGCAACTTCACACATTTTTTTGACGTTCTGGCCAGGGATAATTTTGGATTGCGTGAACACATCAGTTACCCATGGAAGAGTCTGGGTTTGCTTTTTTTTGGAGTACCAAGTTCTAAATAAGGGAATCTGTAGTGCTTCAGATAAATTTGGAGTGTTGTTTTTGATGACAGAGGCTGATGGAAGCAGGAATCCAGTCGTAGCACGAGCTACTTCTTTCTGTTTAAAGAGGGAAAGGTTTTACCTCAGAAGAATGGAAACTGGAGCTCTTGAGGAAAACCAATTAGCTTCAAATTCTGGCCTCTTAACTCTTCTCACAGAGGTGTCTACTGCCTTGTAACTTGGCTACTAATACGTAATCTAGACAGTGGTGACGTGAAGGGAATCAAAAAAAAAAAAAGGCAAGATGGCAGTAACAACACAACTGAAACGCCAACCCTTTCAGATTTGTGCGCTTACCAAAGGGCAACGCTTGGATTGCAATTTCACAACCGCCATTTTGCTTATTTTTGACCCACCCTCTTGGGTACTGTTGGATCTTGGCCAATCTTGGCATTGCTTCCTCCCCCCCATCCCGATAACTATTTGTCAAGAAGCGTTACCTCGTCTCAGAGATAATACGATATTTCAGATCAAATTTGCCACTCACAAATTTCCCGTTGTCTTTTTGTAGTGGTGTCTTTTATCTGCCTGGCTAAAGAGAAGTTGTGAACAATGGGGGCTCAAAAGAACGTAGCAAAAGCTTTGTCTAAAAACGGGAGGTCTGCGTTGCTCTCTTCTATGGTTTTACAATCTTTGCAGGCTCTGACACAATAATGCCAGCAACAATCATTGCCGCTAATAAGCTGGAGATAAAGGATTTTCAGCTAAGCACGACATTTCTGCAGAGAGAGGAAGGTCAGCATGACATCCCTCAAAATGGCTTTGAAGCAATCTCTAAGGCAGATACAGACGGTGAGCTCATCGCTTTTTCCCCCATTTGAAAATTTCTCACCTTACGGGCAATGTCAGAGCATCTCTGTTTTAAAGGAATGTTCTTGAAAGACAGAAGGCAAGAGTTTGGTGCATTTCCCACACGTTGGGCCAGATGCCTGCTTTGGCAACTTCAGATACCAATATCTGGCTTGAGACGGTCTGTGGCAAAAAGCAGCTCCAGAACGTTAAGTGGTGTCAGGAGTGTGGTAGAGAGAACAATTACCTGGAAAGCAAAAGATATATGCATATGTGGTTAGGACAGTGGTTCTCAACCTTTTTAATGCCGCGACCCCCAACCGGT